ATTTACTTACACCCAATTTAAATAGATTGGTTATTGTTCTGCTTTCTTTAATGAAGTACAGTAGAATTGAATGCTGTAAGAGCACGCGCCAGTATGGAAGTAAACGATATAGAACTTGAAGTCTCTAAAATATTTTTCGATTTTCCAGATTGCTAATAGGTTGTTCCATAAAGTTACGTACTAAGTCAATAGCGAGCATTTAATGCCTGGTAGACAGAGAGAGAGGGAGAGAGGGACAAAGAGACAGACAGACAGGCAAAGAGACAGAGAGAGAGAGAGAGAGAGAGAGAGAGAGAGAGAGAGAGAGAGAGAGAGAGAGAGACAGATACTCTCTCTCTCTCTCTCTCTCTCTCTCTCTCTCTCTCTCTCTCTCTCTCTCTCTCTCTCTCTCTCTCTCTCTCTCTTTCTCTCTCTCTCTCTCTCTCTCTCTCTCTCTCTCTCTCTCTCTCTCTCTCTCTCTCTCTCTCTCTCTCTCTTTCTCTCTCTCTCTCTCTCTCTCTCTGTCTACCACAAATTCTACACACATTCAGAGAGATCGACAGATAGACAAACAGAAAGCTCGACAGACAGACAGACAGACAGACAGACAGAGACAGAGAGAAGATTACAACCAATTTGACAACTAATTCAGAGCGAAACTAAGAAACCTTTTTACCTGAATGAACGCGGTGTTCCCACGCGCCCGCCCCCGCCCCCCCCCCCCAACCCCGACGAGGTCAAATTGTTCGAATTCCTTATAAAAGAGAGATGGGTGATTGGCCTTAATTGATTCGGGTTACATTGAAACACAGGAAGCCTTAGAGATAGAGGGTCTGGAAATTGAATATTAGGGAAGAGGAAAATACAATTTGCTTTAAGCCCTACAAAGTCTCAGATATTTTTTTTTTTCTTTTTTCCTTTTTTTCTTTTTTTTGTGCTTTGACAAAAAAACAAGCTTTCATGCAGCAGTCAAATACACAAAACACATATAACGAATCTATTTGGATGATAAGAATTTCGAAATGGAAAAATGTATATTCGTGTGGATTAAATAGATAGATACATGGATAGATAGATATAGATTTGAATATGTGTATGTGCATGTGCGTGTGTGTGTGTATGTGTGTGTGTGTGTGTGTGTGTGTGTGTGTGTGTGTGTGTGTGTGTGTGTGTGTGTGTGTGTGTGTGTGTGTGTGCATGTGTACGTACAACTGTTCCATTTCAGAATTACTTTTTTTTTTCTTTTTTGTGTTTGCTTTTCGTCAGTGGGCCCTACCCTCTACCCCCACCCACCACTCCTCCCATCCCCATCCCTCTCACCCCTCCTCCCTCCCCCTTTCTCCACTCCCTTCTCCCTTTCTCCACCCCCCCTCCTCCTCTACCTCCCCTCCCTCCCCTTCTTTGGTCTCAAGGGCGAACCCATTATATTCACCGAAAATGCTTCAGCTTGAATAAAACCTCTTTTCCTTTGCCGTCGCGCCTCTGGTTTGCCTCCTCCTTCCCTCTCCTCTCTCTTCCTCTTTCTCTTAGACAATTCTTAGTTCCTTTTTTTTATTCTTCTTTTTCCTCCTCACTCCCTCCCCTCCCTCAGTCTCTCTAATCTTGCTCCCTCCTCCTCCTCCTTCTCCTCTTTTTTCTTTCTCTTCTTTCTCTTTCTCCTCCTCCTCCTCTATCTCTTTTCTTTCCCTTATTCTTTAATCTTCTCCTTCTCATTCCCTTTCTCTTTCTCCTCCTCCTGCTTTATCTCTTTTCTTTCCCTTATTCTTTAATCTTCTCCTTCTCATTCTCTTTCTCTTTCTCCTCCTCCTCCTCCTCTAATCTCTTTTTAATCTTCTCCTTTTCATTCTCTTTCTCTTTCTCCTCCTCCTCCTCCTTTTCCTCATCTCTTTCCTCCTCCTCCTCCTCCTCCTTTTCCTCCTCCTCTTCTCCTTCCTTCTCCTCTTTCTCCTTTTCCTCCTCCTCTTCCCCTTCCTCCTCCACATAGCTCATTCCACCCGTCACATCCACATATCCCATTCCACATAGCTCATTCCACATATCCTAATCCACATAGCTCATTCCACCGTCACATCCACATATCCTAATCCACATAGCTCATTCCACCGTCACATCCACATATCCTAATCCACATAGCTCATTCCACCGTCACATCCACATATCCCATTCCACCGTCACATCCACATATCCCATTCCACCGTCACATCCACATATCCCATTCCACCCGCCACGTCCGCATAGGTCATTCCACTCGTCTGTCTCCTCCACTAGGAACTGCAATGGGATAATTGTTCATCAATGTTTTGTTCAACGTAATTTACTCTTACTCAAGCCTTCTGATGAGCTTGCAACTTCCTCTTGCGACTTCTTGCAACATTCTGCCTCTTTGTGCGATGCAGCCTTGAGGAATCAAGTGTTGCAAGGTCTCTCTCCCTTCCTCCTTCTCTCTCCCTTCCTCCCCTCTTCCCCATCCTCCTCTCCCTTTTTATATTCGTTCCGCCTTTGTCTTTTTCTCCTTTTTCCTTCTCCCTTCCTTCTCCCTCGTCTTTATTTGCTCTTTTTATCCCCCCCTCCTCCCTCACATCCCCTCCCTGCATTCCAGCATCGTCTCCCCTTTTGTTCCTGCTTTCTCCCCCTTCTCCCCCACTTTTTCCCCTCATTTTAACATTTTCTTCCCTCTCTTCCCCCTCCTTCTCCTCCCCCTTCCCGCCCCACCCCCCTCCTCCTTCCCACCTTTTTCCCCTCATTCTAACATTTTCTCCCCTTTCCTTCCTGCTTTCTCCCGCTCCTCCCCCACCTTTTCCCCTCATTTTAACACTTTCTCCTCCCCCCCCCCCACCGTCTTTTTCCCTTTCTACCCTCTTCCTCTTCCTCCTCCTCCTCCCTCGCCTTCTCCCCTTCCTCCTCCCCCTACCTATTCCTCCATCCTCCTCCCCCCACCTCCCATTCCTCCTCCTACCTCTGCCTTCTCCCCCTCCTCCTACCCTCGCTTTCTCCCCTCTTCCTCCCCCTACTCCCTCCCCTTCTCCCCCCTCCTCCACCCCTCGCCTTTCCCCCCTCCTCCTACCCCTCGCCTTCTCCTCCCTCCTCCCCCTACCCCCACACCCCCACCCCTCCCGCCTTCTCCCCCTCCTCCTACCTCGCTTCTCCCCTCTTCTCCCCTACTCCTCGCCTTCTCCCCTCCTCCTACCACCAACTTCTCCCCCTCCTCCCCCTACCCCCACACCCCCACCTCTTCCCCCCACACCCCCACCCCTCCCACCTTCTCCCCCTCTTACTCCCTCCCCCCTAACCTCCCCCCTCCCCGCCACCTATTCCTTTCACTCATCAATCTTATGCACCGCTTTATCAATCACCTGTCCATTAACCCCATCCCTCGTCCTATCCATCACACCTGTTTCCCCGGCCGCCCATCTATGACTCTGTCTCTCATTCCGTCCAGCGCTGAAGCCGCCCGCCCTCTTTCTTCCCTTCCACGCCCTTATCTCTCTTCCTCCCGCCCACTTTCCACGCCCGCCCACCTTCTTGCTTTCTTCCTTGCCACTCGATCATACGCCTTTTTTTTCTCTTTTCTCTTCTTCCCTTCTTTTCTCTTCTTTCTGCCTATCTCCCGTCTTCGCAAACCGATGTCCTCTGCCTTTCCTCCTTAACCCCCCCCCCACGCCCACCATTCTTCCTCCGCCCACGCCTCCCCTCCCCCCTTTTCCAACCCATCCTTCTGCCCCGCCCACAAAATTTTCCCCTCCACCCAATCTTCTCCCCTGCTCCTCTTCCCCTCCTCCCCTCCTCCCCTCCTCCTCTCCCTTCCAACCCCCCCCACCCTCTCCCATCTCCCCGCCCACCTTCCTTCGCCCAACCCCGCCCCTCCTCCGACCACCACGCCTTCAAACTCCGCCCATCAAGCTATCCATCCGAGCAGTTCCTCATATAATCCATCATCAGATCACTAATGACGTATTTGGAAGAGAGAGAGAAGGGGGGGGGTGAGAGGGAGAGAGAGGGGGAGGGGGAGTGAGAGAGAGAAGGGGGAGAGTGAGGGAGAGAGAGAAGGGGAGGGGGGAGTGGGACAGAGAGAGAGAGAGAAGGGGGGGTAGTGAGAGAGAGAGAGAGAGAGAGAGAAAGAGAGAAAGAAGGGGGGGGGTAGTGAGAGGAGAGAGAGAGAGAGGGGTGGAGTGAGAGAGAGAGAGGGGTGGAGTGAGAAAGAGAGAGGGAAATAAAGAAAGAGAGAGCGAGGGGAGTTGGTAAGGGATATTAGAGATCGAGGAGAGAGAGAGAGAGAGATAGACGAACAGAGGCAAAATGAAAGACGAAGAAAAGGGAGAGAAATGAAACCGATAAACAACTAGAGATGCAAAGAAGCGGAGAAAAGAAGCACAGAGAAAATCGTCCCGGAAGATTAAAGATGGAAAAAAAGATGCAAAGTGTAATGGGTGCAATGGGAATTCTTGCAAGATTCGTCGTTGCAAGAGCGGTCGTATATCGTTCGGGGGTATATTCTGGGCGTGTGCGAATGTGTGT